TGAAATTGGAACATATCCTCACTTAGAGGAAAAGAACATGAATCAGTTCATGAGGCCACGAAGTATCAACTCGACATTGTTGGACTCTCGTCAACAAAACGACTAGGCTCTGGACTCCTGAACCTCAATGGATGGAAACTATTCTACTCAGGCGTCGATATCATGACTCGCGCTCAGGCCGGTGTTGGCGTTCTGGTAGAACCCAATCCGGCTGATAGAATCATCGAATGGAAGCCTATTAGCGAACGAGTGACAATCCACCGACTGAAGCTGCAACGGGCTAGAGCGTTGAATCTTCTTACATGTCCATGTAATTAATTTGCAGGGGAATATGAGTCCGTCATTGAAGAAGTGGAGTGTGTCCTGTACGAAGTGCTAAATACTGAGTCCGTCATTCTAATGAGCGATTTCAATGCGTACTCCGGGGCAGACAGTGAAAAGTGGGAAGGTGCGATTGGAAACATCGGTTGTACTGATCTTAGCTATAACGGAATGAAGCTCTGGCGGTTTTGTGCAAACAACGGTCTTTACCTGATGAACAACTTGTTCGAACATGGAACAGCGCATCAGGATACCTAGTACGAAGAAGCTTTAAAACAGAAGTCGATGATGATTTGATATTCGTATCGTCTGACTTAAGACGCTCAGTAACGGATCTTCGAGTTAAGAGAGGTGCAGAACTAGCAACTGATCACCACCTTCTTATTAGCAAGCTACGCTATAAGAAACGGAGTTCCATACGTAGATCAGGTGGCAGAAGTAACCGGAGAATCAAATGGGAAGCATTGTCTTCGGTGGACACCAGAGCGAAATTTGCAAACAACATCGCACGACCGTTTGAACATATCCAATGATGACAGCAGATATTAAAACCGAATGGCAGCTCTTTAAGAGCGCCATACTCGAGGCTGCCGCCGAATGCTGCGGATATAAACGTGTTCGCCTTATGTCTAGAAGTCAGAAAAGATCTTCATGGTGGACAGGAGAGGTACAACTGGCAGTTGAAGAGAAGAAAGCAGCGTTCAAGAAATGGCTTGGAAACAAGGAGCCATC